AAAAGTTGTAAAAACGACCTTCGCTATTTTCTTCGCGATTCCGACTAATTGCAGTTTTTTCAAAAAAAATTTCACACATCATGTAGTAAACTAATCTTTCTAACTTCTCAAAAAAACTCAAGTCGTTTGGCCCAATTTTAAAAAAGTCATTCCATTTTATAGGGTGTATGAATACTTTTTTCAGTCACTGTATACAAGTTTAAAAAAGTAATTCATAAAATCCATTATGTTTGTATAAATTTTCAAAACATCACAGCTATTAGTATGTTTTAGCTTAATTTTTTTTTGTAGATCAGTGTCCATTTTTTCATTCACTTTAACATGTTTATTATACTTCATATTTTATTGTAGTACTACATAATATTATTTTCTAATCACTATAGTAACTAGAACTGAATTAGTTTTTTTTACATGTATTAAATGCTTAATACTTCATACTTTATTTATTTAATTCAAGAATGTACATTTAAACATCAAATGGATAAAATATTAAAATGTTTGAGCTTAACCTCTTAGCTACTTTACGCCACTACAGTGACTTTTGCGTAGGTTATCTTTTTGAACGGTACGCCACTAAAGTGGTTCACTCTGTCTTTAGATATGTGTAAATTATCACCTCACCGCGCGCGTTATTTGTTTCGTTTCACATTTTTTTCGCCCTCATAACATTTCATAACAATATCAAAGCTAAAGCTAATTATTAAAGTATACGTATTCATATTATCTTGTTATGTTTTATTCAAACTCTTTACATGAAAATGTATAAATAAATTATAATTTATTCATCTATAACTCTATTCTGTTGTAATTTCATAATGGAAAGCATCACCAGACACAAATCGCAGTACTACATTATTTACAGCACCACGGAAAGTCCAGCCGTAGCTAAGAGGTTAAGAAATGCCATTCTGCATAATTCATTATGCTAGAATATATATATATATTTTTTTTTAATATCTGGATATATTTTTCAAATGACAATGCTGGCACAAGAAAAATGGACACTGTTAAATTAGTTTTCTACTAACCAACTGAATGTGCATTTTTCTGTTTTGGCATGATGCTTGCATAGGCTACCAGCACATTGGCACCAATTTGGCACGAATTTTCTCCTATACCTTATGAATCCCCTATTCCAAGAAGCCCTGTTTATACAGACATACAAGACAAAACACAGAATGACATTTATCTAGAACCACCAGATTTCACAGAGTTTCGAGATCCATGGGAAAATTATTGTGTACAAAATGATCCAATTATTTATAAAGCAGAAGACAATCAACCTCAACAGTATTATTCCACATTCAACAGTTCTCCATCTGTGTCTATGTTAAATGATCAGTTTAATTACTTAAAATCTGTTCATCAGACTCATTATGAAACACCAGCAGAACATAGTAGGGAATTCTATCATAAACAACACCATAACGAATATAATTCTTCTTCACATGTTCAACATCATCATAATCAGGAACAATCTAATCAATTTATTAATAAAAATGAACAACAACATTTGTTTTTTCCTTCTGAAGATACATCAAGTTCAAATATTCAAACTAACCACTGGCAAAATCAGCACAGTATAGAAAATTGTATACCTGTACATAGTGTACAAAGTCACCATTCCAATGAATCTCAACATCAATATGTTGACTATCAATACACTCCACAAAGTTCTTGCAATGATAGTAACAGACTAGTATCAGGAGATATAAAACAAAATCAACATGTTGACTACCAACATACTCCTCAACATTCCCTTAATGATAATAACAAATCATTGTCAGAAGAAACAAAACAACATCAACATAATGAACCTTATATTAATCATCAATGTAATCACTACCAAATGTATGATAATGTAAATAATAAACAGCCTACTCAACATTATGAACACGAGAATCAAAGTTTTCATTTTAATGAACAAACTGAATTCAAATTTAAAAGAGAAGAATCTTTAAATGTCAATATTGATCACAATCAAACTATGCAGAGTAATGTAGCTTATCAAAATGATCCTCCAATTAAGCAAAGTACTGAACAAAATGATAATGTAAACATTACAGACGAACGGACTAACGCACTCATATCTACTAGTCCTCATCCTCCATCCAAACCTTGTACAGATATCCACAATGTAGCAACGCAATCTGACCCACACATAACGGATGATCTAAATAGTTCAAATGTAAGTAATTGTTCCCATATATTTTTCTTTAAAGTTAAAAATATTCTCCTATTGTCACTTAGAGTCTTCTTTATATTTAATAAGTTACAACACATTGCTTAAGCAATTGCATTGTAATTTTAAATATGTTATTTATTTAGTAGCTTTTGGGACATTACTTGCAGTTCTAGTATATTTTTTTAGCATACAATTTTGTTATAAAATGTCTTTAACAATCCTAATAAGTGTTATCTATTCTTTACATTTTTTAGTTCCTTCTACATTGTCCTATGATTATACCAATAAAGAAAGCATTGGTATTTGGCTTAAAATTGTTCAAAATGAGTATAACTTCCTTGAATTTATAACATGATCTATTTATTATTATATTACTAATTCATACTAGATTTGTGTGTTATTTTTCTTCATGTTTGTGGTACCTGCATTTATATAGTGTAACAATCACATATGGTAATTGTGTAAGGTAACTTGTCAAAGTAATCTCTATGAATGTATACTGATATAATTCTAATCTATACTTTTATATTTCTTGTAATTAATATATTACAAATACTTAAATGGTAGTATATATTTCTGATTACATAGGGTGGTCTTGCTGGTGCCTTGGCTCAAATGACATTAGGTGAACCCAGAAGCGCTGAACAAATTGCGTTAGAAGAACATATGCGAAAGCAGAGTTGGGAACAGGGTCAAATTGACTATATGGGTCGTGATAGCTTTGACAATATCTGGAAAAAAATTTGCGAAACACTCGCCCTTGCACCCCCGCGATTACCATCTCCTCCTAAAGTAACTAACTGACTGATATACTGTAAATTAATAAAAATAGAATTTATATATAAACAATGCAACTTACAGGAAATAGAAAAGCTTGAAAAAACTGCAACTGACAAGACTGAAGAACCTGTTAAATCTGCTGAATCTACTCAATCTCTTGAATCTATAGATGAAGTGGATAAAGGAACTGGTATGTATGTTCTTCATGTACAAAGCTTATGTAAAATTA